AGTGGTTGATGTGTTTAATTGTTTAGCTAAATAATTTTAATTAAAAAATCAACATTTAAAGAACTAAATAACCCTCATAATATGTTACATACAGTTGCATAAGCATACCTTTGCAAAAGTACAATTATTTATTGGTTAAGGTCTTACCAGGAGCTTTGGTTGATTGTCAAAATAAGCTTGTTGTATACTGGATTGCAGGTACCAAGTGCAACTACAAAAGAAACAACATCACATGTCAATTTATAATAAAGTAATAGAGGGGTAGTCAATTTCAAATCCTTTTATATCAATAGGAAACATATTATCAACATTTCCTCCACTAAGTAACATATGCAAATCAATAACTAAGCAGATCAAACATTTATCAAGTTCTACTTAGGTTATACAGTTTGGAATGAAGAAGAAAATTTAGAGTGTTGAAGTTGGAACATATTTTAGAGTGTTGAAGTTGGAACATATTTTAACTATAGGAGTGGTGGTAGGACAATGGGTATTTATGTGGCAACAATTGTTATCGTATTGAGGGTAACAATAACCTAACATATTTTATTACCCTAAAACTAAAATATATTAATATTCTTTTACTGAATCGAGTATTTTAAAAATTTATTATATTTTTTTAATCATAAAAATTTAAACCTACTAGTTATTTGACCTCGGATTAATTAGGTCACAGGAGGCCATTATTCCGTTTAGATTTGCACAATAGCTTTTCATACAATCCTAAGTCATTATCATTGCAATAACTATTACTAACTTTTCTCATTCCTTTTATTTTTATAGCCATAATGTCTCTGTCACACAACAAAAGAAGACGAGAAAAAAAAATAAAAATTTGTTGTGTTTTATTTTTCACTTTTTATCTTTTCAAGGAATGAAAAAAATCCAATGCAGACGTGGAATATGAAATCTTGAATTGAAACAGAGATTTGGAATGAGTGTACATAAAATTATCTGTTAATTTAATTTTTTAAGTTTAATTATATTTTAATTTTTATTAACATTGAAACAGAGACAAATGGTTTAAAAGAAAGAAAAATCATATTACAACGGTAAAATTATTTTATTATTTAATTACTTTTTAAATTTTTTATAAAATAATTATAATTGTATAATATTTATCACATTTTTGTTCTTTAAATAAAATAAAATTATAAAGTAGTCTTCATTTAATATTGTAAAAATGTGTAACAGTAGGGTCTAGGTTTTGTAGTTGGTTATCATGCCAGTCTCACACACTAGAGATTCCCATTTCGAACCTGGGTTCAGACAATCTAATTAATTTAACTTATACAGTTTGGAATGAAGAACAAAATTTAGAGTGTTGAAGTTGGAACATATTTTAACTATAGGAGTGGTAGTAGGGACAATGGGTATTGATGTGGAAACAGTGGTTATCAGTGATGGGTATTGAGAGTACCAATAACCAAGAAAGAATAAGATCATATCAAGCTCTCTAATGACAATCACCATAACATTGAACATTAAGATCATACAAAGATAAAAGCACAGATTATTAAGGGGGGATAACCCCACAATAAATAGATAAAAGAACAGATTAATGAACACATCTTACTGGAGTCCTAAGAAATCAGACCAGACACTGGACAACCACACCATACACACAAGGAACAAAGAAAACAACACAGGGAAAAACTCAGGAGTAAACATACCTTGCTTCAGTTTCTAATAGATCTTTTGCTTCACTGTACAACACTTTAAGCCTTCCCAATGAGGTACCCCACACTTCTCAACCACTTCAACACCTGTATCAAAGTCAAAATAAAATTTCAACAAAAAAATAAACACATATCATAGCAGAATGGATGATTCCTTATAGATTTCAACAAAAAAATAAACACATCATCTAATTATGATTCTAAAAAATGGAAGCAGCACCCTAAATGAAATATGTTGTGGATGATTCCTTATAGATTTCTAAATATGTGAGTTAATAATAATATTGAAAGGTGATGTGCATAACAAATTGAGGTTGATGATGAGTAAAGGTGAAATGAAAAGGTGGTGAAATTTTGCTCAAGTTAAGATGTCACTCCTACGTCTTCTGTTTAGCCTATAAGATTAGGTAAAGCAGTCTAAATTGGTTTGGTAGATGTGGGTTGCTCAAGTCCCTAAAGATTAAGTCTGTCAAATTATTTTTTCTCATCAAACACATGCTGAATTTCATTGTAGGGGGTGTTTGATGTCAATGGAAGATAGTAGGTTTAATGTCTCACTGAGAAGAAAGAAAAAGATTGGATTCAGTTTTTCATTTCTTGTGAAGTAGACATCTATTGATTTTGGCATACTAATCAAGTGGACAAAGGGTTTTGCAGTCTTTGGAACTATATGCATTTATCTACCTTTCCTGAGTGCAGAGCCACTTTCCAATTTCTATTATTTAACTTGGTGTGCATTTATTCACATAAAAACTTCAAACAAAACTAATTTAATAATTGCCTTGCCACTATATTTAAACACTAACGATAAATATTAATACAAGGGCATTGTGCATTATGAGGGGCAATGTAAGTTGTGTCATTTAATCAGAGCCACTAGCTACAATTTTATGTTTTGCTATACTTAAATGGTAACTGAAATATATTAATCCAATTCTGGCATGGCTGAAACATCAAACTACTTACACAGGCAGGAAGAGATGTCTAAGCCTTTAAAATGATGCATCTTATTAGTTGTTACATGCTGAAGCATTGAACCAAAAGTTCATATTCATTTAACTTAGTTTTTTGATTGAGAGTAATGAGGTGCTGAATGAATTTAAAAGTTCAATTGATGATTTACTTCAGTTGGAGAAAATTGATAAATGCATAATCAAAAAATATCAAGGATTCTTGTAGCTCACTAGAAATAAATCCAATGAGGAAGGGGAACTGTTCAAGGGTTTCATAAGAGGAGTGACACTAAGCTAGGGAGGTCTGGACAACCTCAAAGACTTCCAAAGGAAAAGCATGAAAACTATCACAAATATGGGTCACCTTTCTGATTTCTAATGTGACCCCTAGCTCCCATGTACCTAGCTTCACCATTGCTTAAGCCCAATTCATATACTACATCAAAAGAGGATACTTGTTGGACATAGCAGATGTCATAACTGAGGAGATTTTCAAAGTTTCATGTTCTTAACCTAATGGCTTGGCCTGGAGACAAACCTTTTCAAATGGGGGAATCTAGTGTAGTTATAGTGGTAGAAGAGCAACCACAACCATAGCAACTAACACCACCATAAAAAAACTTAGTAAAATTCAACACCAGTACCTCAACAACAACAACAATAGCCATAACATGACACCTCTTGAGAGCATACTTAATTTGTTAGCACTACTCTACAAGAAAAAGTTCCTTATAATGAAGGAACAAAGGAAGGAAGATCTGAAGGAAGCAAGCTAGAGTCCTCTGAACCGAAGGACTTCTTTGACTTTACACTAGAAAATTCTAAACCAAATAAAATTAACATATTACACCAGGTTCAGATTGAAAAAGGCTATAATACAAGGCAGCCAACTCTAGCAATGCATAATAGCAACAAATTCATGTCCATGCATTACACTAACATGTATCATAGCATTCACGACTTTACATACTTAATACAGTCAACAATACTTAAAAATTAACATTACACACACACACACACACACACACACACACACACACACACACACACACANTCACACCCGTCCACAACTTCTTCAATTCGTCTATCAAGGGCTCTAAATAAACATCTATGCCAACCTTTGGATTGAATGGCCCGGGAATGAGACATGTCAAGAACATGTAAGGTTTAGACATGCATATTTCTGGAGGAAGATTGTAACGGGTGACAATAATTGGCCAACATGAATATGGTATATTTGATGCCTGTACATATGGGTTAAAATCGTCAGAGCATAAACTGAGTTGTACATTGTGTGGCTCGATACCAAAGTCAGGATATACACTATCAAAGTGCTTCCAAGCCTCTCCATCACATGGATGACGCAAAACACCATTCGTTGACCTATTCTGATAGTGCCATGTCATATGTCCTGCAGTTTGTGTTGAGGCATACATTCTTTGTAGTCTAGGAATTAATGGCAAATAGAACATTGATTTCACAGGAACTTCTTTTGTAGTTGTTGCTCCCGTGTTACGTGGTTGATATATTGGCTTTCCACAAAATTTGCATTCAAGCAACGCCCCATCATTCTTACCATATTCATTATCATAGAACAACATGCAACCATCCACGCAACAATCAATCCTCTGCGATTGTAATCCCAACTTTGATACACACTTTTTTGCATCGTAGTATGTTTTAGGCAAACTTGATTTGATGGGTGTTCCATCCATAACCATTTTTGCAATAAAATCTAAGCATTGGTTAGGGATATTCCAATTTGACTTGCAAGCTAATAGCCTGACACACATTGATAATTTCGAGTCTGATGCTCCTTCATACAACGGTTGGTTTGCATCCAACAAAATATTATAAAACCTTTGTGTATCTTCATTCGAAGCCTCTTCAATTTTTTTAGAAGTAGTTGCTTGGCACGACTCATTTTGCCTAAGAGCATCATGCACCATGTCTTCCATTGTCATAAATTGGTTAATTGGATCACCTTTCGTCTCAACACCCATCCAACTTTCATGATTCTCTACATCATCTTCTAGAATTCTTTTCCTATGATCCTCCCAAATGAAATATTTAGGCTTGAAACCCACCTTGTAAAGGTGAACCTTGACAACTCTTTCGTTCAGAATCTTTGTACAATCGCACTTTAAACATGGACATCGAAGACCCCTATCTCTGCGATAACGTTCTTTTTCACAAGCTTTAGTTATAAACTCTTCAACACCTAATACAAAAGACTCTTTCAAAGCACCTCTTCCTCTATGACACCTATCGTACATCCATGCACGATTTGGTGGAGCACGATCCATGTTCTGTACATAAATCGATTACAAAACAATTAGCCATTGGTTAATACACGTCTCTATATTATGACACGTGCCCTATCAAATGGCTTCCTAATGAATAACCTAAATTAATTTAGGTACTCTTCTCTCTATCTTACAATGTTTTTCAACATGTCTCTATCTTACTACTTGTTTTGTACATGTAAATCACTATGTAAAATATTGTTGTTTTATATTAATCACTATGTACAATATTGTTTTAAGCTTTGAATATAGAAGGATATTGGCAAAACTACAACATTGAGCTAAAACTTTCACTACAACCAAACATAGTTAAAGAAAAAACAAATTAGGGTAGATAGTGGTTGATGTGTTTAATTGTTTAGCTAAATAATTTTAATTCCAAAAATCAACATTTAAAGAACTAAATAACCCTCATAATATGTTACATACAGTTGCATAAGCATACCTTTGCAAAAGTACAATTATTTATTGGTTAAGGTCTTACCAGGAGCTTTGGTTGATTGTCAAAATAAGCTTGTTGTATACTGGATTGCAGGTACCAAGTGCAACTACAAAAGAAACAACATCACATGTCAATTTATAATAAAGTAATAGAGGGGTAGTCAATTTCAAATCCTTTTATATCAATAGGAAACATATTATCAACATTTCCTCCACTAAGTAACATATGCAAATCAATAACTAAGCAGATCAAACATTTATCAAGTTCTACTTAGGTTATACAGTTTGGAATGAAGAAGAAAATTTAGAGTGTTGAAGTTGGAACATATTTTAGAGTGTTGAAGTTGGAACATATTTTAACTATAGGAGTGGTGGTAGGACAATGGGTATTTATGTGGCAACAATTGTTATCGTATTGAGGGTAACAATAACCTAACATATTTTATTACCCTAAAACTAAAATATATTAATATTCTTTTACTGAATCGAGTATTTTAAAAATTTATTATATTTTTTTAATCATAAAAATTTAAACCTACTAGTTATTTGACCTCGGATTAATTAGGTCACAGGAGGCCATTATTCCGTTTAGATTTGCACAATAGCTTTTCATACAATCCTAAGTCATTATCATTGCAATAACTATTACTAACTTTTCTCATTCCTTTTATTTTTATAGCCATAATGTCTCTGTCACACAACAAAAGAAGACGAGAAAAAAAAATAAAAATTTGTTGTGTTTTATTTTTCACTTTTTATCTTTTCAAGGAATGAAAAAAATCCAATGCAGACGTGGAATATGAAATCTTGAATTGAAACAGAGATTTGGAATGAGTGTACATAAAATTATCTGTTAATTTAATTTTTTAAGTTTAATTATATTTTAATTTTTATTAACATTGAAACAGAGACAAATGGTTTAAAAGAAAGAAAAATCATATTACAACGGTAAAATTATTTTATTATTTAATTACTTTTTAAATTTTTTATAAAATAATTATAATTGTATAATATTTATCACATTTTTGTTCTTTAAATAAAATAAAATTATAAAGTAGTCTTCATTTAATATTGTAAAAATGTGTAACAGTAGGGTCTAGGTTTTGTAGTTGGTTATCATGCCAGTCTCACACACTAGAGATTCCCATTTCGAACCTGGGTTCAGACAATCTAATTAATTTAACTTATACAGTTTGGAATGAAGAACAAAATTTAGAGTGTTGAAGTTGGAACATATTTTAACTATAGGAGTGGTAGTAGGGACAATGGGTATTGATGTGGAAACAGTGGTTATCAGTGATGGGTATTGAGAGTACCAATAACCAAGAAAGAATAAGATCATATCAAGCTCTCTAATGACAATCACCATAACATTGAACATTAAGATCATACAAAGATAAAAGCACAGATTATTAAGGGGGGATAACCCCACAATAAATAGATAAAAGAACAGATTAATGAACACATCTTACTGGAGTCCTAAGAAATCAGACCAGACAC